CTAAAAACACTAAAATAAATTGATATTAAACAAAATGAATGAACCAATTTTAGAGAGCAAAATAGGTAGTCCCTTTTTCTCTCCAATTTTCTCCTGGTGTATGAAGCCTCCAAAATGACAAAGTCTTCACTTACATTGCTCTTTTTTTTCCAATTAATCAATAGGTTCATCAATTCTAATATGGAACAAAGCTTTATTTGTATATCAGTCTTTACCTAAATAAAGAGATACGTATAGCCTCAAAAAAGGGAAATTGAGTAATATAACCACTTTTTAATGTTATTTTAATAATATAACCAGAATTTTCTTTTGCAAAATGACCATTCGGTCTCGAATGGGTCATTCCGGACCCGATTTTGTTTTCGGTGCATTTATGGGTAATGGATATGACCCAGAAATGTGGTCTCCCTTATAAATACCATTTAACTTGTTTCCGATGTCATTTCAAACTATCTCATTTTGTATTACCAGTATTCCGGACACCACCAAAAGTAAAGTCTTTAGATAGCAGGAATGAGATGCATTGCTTATATGTAAGTTTCAATTCTGTATATAATTATATTCCTTTATTTTAGATCATACGTAAAAACCTGTATAATTTATGCATTTAGATAGGTATTATTAGTTTTCCTTTGAAATTTATTGGTTTAAAGACAATTATATGATTATATGTACGAATATATGTATGTTACATCAAAATTTCTCACCAACAAACTTCATTTTCACTAGTCTGGAATTCGAAAAACATGTCCGGAATAAAAAGAACTCCTCCAAAATATGATGAACATTCCGAAATTTTGTTCTGGAATTTAGTTCTAGAATTTTCTTCCGAAATTATGTTCCGGAAATGTGTATTCAGCAATGTCCTCTCGAACATACATACAAAAATGGCTAATTAATGATTCTTTTGATTGTAGCACAACAGAACATATGAAGCGGTTGTTACTACAACCTGTAGGAGTGAAGTTGGGTGTGAAATCATGGCTTGTTTAAATAATAGACTAGTTTGTGTGGTCTTGTTTATGAAATATGGTTCTCGTGATTATGTGAACATGTAGATTGTTGTAGAATGTCACCATTTACTCTATCACTATCTTATGTGCAAGGAATTTACTACTTTTGATCCAGTTAACCTACAAGAGCTTTTATTTTCAGTTGGTGACTATCATGTTTGTTGGACAGGAAAGCACTTTACTTCATCAATTAAGTGATGCAAACATGGTGAGAGTCTCGCTCTACTTATACTAGAGAAAGGATTTTTGAGGAAATACCCTCAACAACCGGTTACTAATAAACATACGACACTCGTCCCTAATTTAAACGAGGAGAACCTGTATGTAGTTTTTAAAAAATATTATATCAAATCATGCATATACTTATAAAGTGTGATTGTTGACATTGATACTCATGGGGTAGAGTGATATGAGATTACACTTACAAATAGCTACATACTGTGTTTAACAAGATTAATGACCATTTAAACCCCAATGCACCAAGAATCGGTAGTAAACACACATATACTCTGCATGGATTTGTATAAACATTTAACGTATGTCCACTATTTTCAAAATGTTTTTTAGCAACAAGTATTATAACTTTCTTAAGTTAGTTACTTGTTTGACATGTTAATTTTGTAGATTTGGTTGATAGAGACATTTCCCACCAGTAGTATAGTTAGTTCCCCTATACCGGTTGTTATCCCTGGGGTAGTTGCATACCCCAAGATGAGGCGCCTGCACGCTGCTGAGTACGAATGTATTCTTAATGTTACTAAGGTATGTAGCTTAGTTCACCTTATAATTTATAAGTTAGTACGAGAAAATAACTTAATATTAACCTTTATATATTGTTTCACGTAGCGTCCCCCAATAGGATCATGCTGCTTTGTGGTGAATTGAGATTGTCCTGTGGATAGATGTTGCATATTACCCTGATGTTTGAGTTATGTTTTTTTTCGTGTGTGTGTTTTAAACAATTTCATTATGATTATGTAGCAAAATGAACTTTATGTTTCTGAACAATGTAAAATATTCTAATTTCATACAAATATCATCACGAGTTTTTAAGGTCAACAAAATCATAGTGTTGACTACTATTTTGACTAGTTTTAACGTTAGATCTACTCTTTGACTTAACGTTACTTTTTCCACTTTACTTGGCCATACTAGAAGTTTCAGTTTTTGTTGAATATGTGGGAAACTGAGTGTCATAGTTTCTGCTTGTGTCCTTAATCCTTTGGCAATGACTGCACTTTTTCTTAATTGGACCCTCGACTTGGACATTACTTTAAATGACAATATAGACAAAATTGACAATGATAGTGGGACAATAACATTGAGGAAGCCTACATTAGGGATAATAATATTGATGATAACGAGGATGGAAGTCCATGTGATAAATTTGAAAGTAGGGACAAGTTTAAGGACATAAATGAAGCTTTTATGGGGGTGATTGTGGTTATGAATCCAGTGAGACCAATAACATTGAATTTTTTGTTGAGAATTACAATATGTTAGATAATGTAGAAGTTAACATGAACGATTTCAATGCTAACATTGATGTGCATGCAGAGTGGGTTGGATGGAAGAAGAAGAACCTGGTACAAGAAGAAAATTATGTAGGGGAGCTTAATGAAGTTATAAATAACGACGTTCTCTTGTCAGGATCATCTTCAGATGAAGGTATGGCTGCTCAATGAAAGAAGACTACCAAAGCTATCTAGAGAGCTGAAGAGAATGATGAAGAAATGTTGGTGAACCATTTTATATCCTTCAAACCTATAATACATCCAAAGAGTTTAAAGAAAGAGTCAAATTTCATGCTATCGAGACAGAATGTTAGTGGATCAAAAAGTTCAAGAAATGTTGGTGGCATTGGAAAGGAAAAGGTGAAGGTTGCTGGTGTTAGCAAGAAAGGGAATGGTGTCCCATGAATGTGGCTTTTTGGTGATTATGTTTTGTTTTGGTTTCTCTTGAAAAACAATGTTTTTTTTATTTTTGAACTAGGTTGTATGTTGTCATGGTTGTGTTGGTTAATTTTGACAAACAATGGTTTACTTGTATTATCTAGTTTTAGCAATGTACTTTGTTTTATTTTGGCAATTTGTTTAGTTTTAGCAATGTAGTTTGTTTTACTATGTTTTAACAATGTACTTTGTTCTATTTTGGTCATATGTTTTGCTCATTGCTTTTGGAATTTACTTTTGGTCGTTGCTTTTGGTAATATATATATATATATATATATATATATATATATATATATATATATATATATATATATCTTATCTTGGTTTTATTTGTTTGTTCATCTGCATAATATGATCCCAATATACTTCAAAATTTGAAAAATACAAATAAAATTCAATATAATATTATTTTCATTGATAAAAGGGTACCCTTGATACAAAATATATTCATTACAATGCATTCCAAACAACTAAAATCACATGACTTGATCTTGAACCTAACATTACAACTTGTAAACATTTATCCCAAAAAAACAAAAACCAACTGATTATTAACAGTGTCTTGAAATTCCGATTTTGGACTTGAAGATCTTGATTTCTGATTTAAATTCCCTTATATTTTTTATTTCTACCTCATAAACATGCTTTTCTTCATCTACCCACAAAATAAGGCCATAATTTGGTCCATGTATTCTCAATAGCTTCGATTAGCAGATCCTACGGATATAATAGAAAATAACCAAAAACGATTACAACATCATACCTGTAGCGGGTAAGCATAAAATACGCTAACTTGGTTTCTCTTTGCCGTTGAAGTCCGTATAACACCTACAGCACCACAATTACATTTCACCATGCTTGATTTTGTAGTGACAGTGAGAAGAAATGAGGGAGGAGAACAAAGTGAAGAGCACGATTGAGAAAAGAAATGAAGGAAGAAAGGGAACAAACCATGTTTAAAGCATGGGTGATATAAAATGAAAAGAATACACCCGACGTGCTAGTCACGTAGGGGGTTTCAAACCACAAACCGAAAGATTGTTAAGATGGCTCTACAACAACCTAACATGTAACACAACAACAATGAAGCACCGTAAAAGCTTAGTGAATAACAACTACAATAACATAACAATATATATATATATATACCTGTAACAATTAAACATAGATCACATCAAATATACTAATTATATAAAGTCAATTGATTATTATATCATCACTCCTTTTGATACCTACAAGTATTATTAGTTCACGAAGTCTGGTTATTACCTCATGACATCGTTATGGCTAACCAACGATTCATTACATCTACATCATACATCTTTGGATATAAACAAATTTCCACTTTACCAACACATATCCAACAAATAATAGGTTCCTATAAACCTATCATAACTTACTACAAGATAAAATTACGTGACTAGTTGTCACCAAACTCATCAGACTCCATAATACAAATTTTTACTAACTTAACCCCATAAGTTATTATTTAATACTCGTAATTCTAATAATTCCATAAGTTAGGGTTTATAACCCACAAAAACCCATTTGTGGAATTCACTTGATAGATTTATAACGAAGTTTATAATTGCACCATATTATGATTTTTAATCGACGAACTCGGTATCCAAAAACCCTTCGTAATTATTTTATGAATACGATAATGTAATAATAGAACAAGAAGATAGATCAACTTGGTCGACACCTCATTCATCATGTTTTAACACCAATTCTTCAATAGAGTTCTCAAAAATTAATATCTCTCTCAGTCTCCATATGATTTCATTTGGAAAAAATCCTAAATGAAGAACTAGACTTCGTATAAATACACCAAAATTCATAGGGGCCACGTCGTCGCCCTTTTATGGTCACGTTGCATCCAAACGTGTGTCGTTCAGAACTTGCCACGCATCGATTACTCTCGCAATGTGTCACAACGAGGTTTTAAGCCCGCATGCCGCGACATTGTTTAACCAATTTCTTTTTGTTAAAAGTACATTACTATAAACTTAAGACAAAATGCAAAATGGTCCCTATGGTTTGTCATTTTTTGTGGATATGGTCAAACCTTTTAAAAATTGGATTTCTGTTCCTGATTGAAAGGTTTGTTTGTGGAACAAGTCCCTGGGGTTAACAGTCGTTTGTGTGTGGCTGTTAAACCTCTCACGTTCATTGCACACGAGGGCATAAATGTCTTTTTACGTGAGGGACCATTTTTACAATTCCTGAAATAAACCCACTTGTTACCGTCTTAGCGCCATATTACACACAAAATCACAAAATATTTAGTTATCTCTTCCACTTCCATCTTCTTCGTCATTCGTTTTGTACGCAAAAACCCTAATCAAGATTTGGTCCAAGGTGTTTACTTGTTTTTTCTTTTCAACTGTAAATGGTGTTCGTAATGTGGGCGATTAGGCCAAAAGGCGAGACGTATGACATCACAAATGAATATGGTTAGTTTCACTTATATTCAGTTTACGAAATTTTGTTGGGTTTCTTGATGATCTGAAGAACAGAGCCAAAAATACAAACATCTGATAATTTCTTAATGTTTTTTGTATCTTGTAGAGCGTGTACCAACAATGTTAACCATAAAGCTACACCATGGTGGAAATTTTACGAAGCTTCTAAACACGAAATATGTTAAAGGTGAAGTGCGATATACTGATTTAGTAGACATTGATGAGTTCTCAGTTCATGAACTAGATGCAATGATGCTAGAGCTAGGTTACTCTGTACCCCTTCCATTTCTTCTCTCTCTCTCTCTCTCTATATATATATATATATATATATATATACCTGTAACAATTAAACATAGATCACATCAAATATACTAATTATATAAAGTCAATTGATTATTATATCATCACTCCTTTTGATACCTACTAGTATTATTAGTTCACGAAGTCTGGTTATTACCTCAAGACATCGTTATGGCTAACCAACGATTCATTACATCTACATCATACATCTTTGGATATAAACCAATTTCCACTTTACCAACACATATCCAACAAACAATAGGTTCCTCTAAACCTATCATAACTTACTACAAGATAAAATTACGTGACTAGTTGTCACCAAACTCATCAGACTCCATAATACAAATTTTTACTAACTTAACCCCATAAGTTATTATTTAATACTCGTAATTCTACTAATTCCATAAGTTAGGGTTTATAACCCACAAAAACCCATTTGTGGAATTCACTTGATAGATTTATAACGAAGTTTATAATTGCACCATATTATGATTTTTAATCGACAAACTCGGTATCCAAAAACCCTTCGTAATTATTTTATGAATACGATAATGTAATAATAGAACAAGAAGATAGATCAACTTGGTCGACACCTCATTCATCATGTTTTAACACCAATTCTTCAATAGAGTTCTCAAAAATTAATATCTCTCTCAGTCTCCATATGATTTCATTTGGAAAAAAATCCTAAATGAAGAACTAGACTTCGTATAAATACACCAAAATTCATAGGGGCCACGTCGTCGCCCTTTTATGGTCACGTTGCATCCAAACGTGTGTCGTTCAGAACTTGCCACGCATCGATTACTCTCGCAATGTGTCACAACGAGGTTTTAAGCCCGCATGCCGCGACATTGTTTAACCAATTTCTTTTTGTTAAAAGTACATTACTATAAACTTAAGACAAAAATGCAAAAATGGTCCCTATGGTTTGTCATTTTTTGTGGATATGGTCCAAACCTTTTAAAAATTGGATATCTGTTCCTGATTGAAAGGTTTGTTTGTGGAACAAGTCCCTGGGGTTAACAGTCGTTTGTGTGTGGCTGTTAAACCTCTCACGTTCATTGCACACGAGGGCATAAATGTCTTTTTACGTGAGGGACCATTTTTACAATTCCTGAAATAAACCCACTTGTTACCGTCTTAGCGCCATATTACACACAAAATCACAAAATATTTAGTTATCTTCCACTTCCATCTTCTTCTTCATTCGTTTTGTACGCAAAAACCCTAATCAAGATTTGGTCCAAGGTGTTTACTTGTTTTTTGCTTTTCAACTGTAAATGGTGTTCGTAATGTGGGCGATTAGGCCAAAAGGCGAGACGTATGACATCACAAATGAATATGGTTAGTTTCACTTATATTCAGTTTACAAAATTTTGTTGGGTTTCTTGATGATCTGAAGAACAGAGCCAAAAATACAAACATCTGATAATTTCTTAATGTTTTTTGTATCTTGTAGAGCGTGTACCAACAATGTTCACCATAAAGCTACACCATGGTGGAAATTTTACGAAGCTTCCAAACATGAAATATGTTAAAGGTGAAGTGCGATATACTGATTTAGTAGACATTGATGAGTTCTCAGTTCATGAACTGGACACAATGATGCTAGAGCTAGGTTACTCTGTACCCCCGATAATATATTACTATTTTAGGATTCCTCATGAAGACTTGGATTTTGGTCTTCGAGCTTTAGGGAATGATAATGATGTCTTGAATTTGGCTCAATATATTGGAGATAACAAGGTCATTAAAGTGTATATAGAACACGGAAAAACTAATTTGCTAACCTATTTTATGTCTCCAAAAGGAAAGCAAAAAGTTATTATTAAGGAGCTCTGTGATGACGATCTTCCAAAAGAAGCAAATGTACCTCAAGTACCAGCAAAGGATAAAACCCCGATAATAGATGAAGCTAATGATCAAACATAGTTTGCAGGGTATATGTCCTTGATACTCTTTGACAAAGTCCCTACGCAAGTTTCACCACAGTATAGAAGAAATGGAAGGGTGAACTCAATAGTTGGTCAAAGTTATTATTCCAAAAATTTTGTTTAGTTGAATTGGATGGTGTAGTAAAGATCAAGGTAGTGATCATGCTAAATTAGATGATATTGTACAAGATCAAGGTGGTGAGAATCCTAAATTAGATGATGTGGTACAAGATCAAGCTGGTGAGCATGCTAACATGGATGATGTGGTACAAGATCAAGATGTTGAGCATGCTAACATGGATGATGTGGTATAAGATCAAGGTGGTGACCATGATAACTTTGATTATGATGACTTTCATTATGAGAACTTTTCTCATGATCACTTTGATCCTTTTGATGGAGAACATTATCAACCACTAGAAGATGAGAATGTTGAAGACCATCAGTCTGAACACGAAAAGTCTGCTGATAGTGATGATCTTGGGCAACAATCAGAAGAACAATATGATGAACTTGTTGATGATGAAAACAATGTATCAGAAGTGGAGGTGGATATGACTGACTTTAACCTTAATCTTGATAAGGATTATGGTTGTGTTCAAATGGATGGGTTTCATAATAGGGTTGGGACAAATGATGAACATAAGGACATAGAAGTCATTGACAATGATAGATGGGATTCTTTAGATGAAGGATCAGAAGATGAAAGGAAAAGAAGATGTGTTCTTAAAAATTTGGCTAAGGAGAAAAGATGCAGTCTTGGTAATGTCCATAAGGCCAGTTTTTATGTTGGGCAAAAGTTTAAATCAAAAGAAAGAATTGAAAGAAAAAATTGACATGCACACATTAGATACTAGGAGGAATTTATATTATAAAAAGAATGACAAGCTTAGACTTCAGGCATTGTGTAGTGGTGTAGTCCCTGTCATCAATGCAAGTGGGGTGGTGGGCCTTAATACCAAAAATAAAAGCAAGGGAAAAGAGGTAAATTAAGAAAAAGTAAATTGTAGTTGGTTCCTTCATGCTTCTAGGTCAAACACAAAATCTCCCTGGTTTGTAAGGACATTAAATGACAACCATACTTGCCTTCAAAGTAGGAAGATTAGAGCTTGCACTGCTACTTTTATATCCAAGTGAATCATGGACTAAATCAACACGGATACAGGGATTCCTCTTCGAGCATTGCAGGAACAACTTCAAAAGGACTTCGAGGTTGGTGTTTCTATTGACAAAGTATTCAGGGCCAAGGCTATTGCAACTAAGATCATGGAGGGTGACTATACAGAACAATATGAGATCTTGAGGGACTATGTACTTGAATTGCAAGCAACCAATGTTGACATAACTATCAAGATTGATGTTTACATTGAACAAAACCCATCAAACCCAACAAGGAGGTTTAAAAGAATCTACATTTGCTTAGGTCCCCTGAAAAAAGGTTTTAAGGCTGGCCTCAGGGATCTTTTGGGTTTTGATGGTGCGTATATGAAAGGTCCATTTCCTGTGCAGGTTCTAACAGCAGTTAGGTTGGACTCTAACAATGACATTTACCCCCTTGCTTATGCCATTGTTGAGACAGAGAACAAAAGTAGTTGGGTATGGTTCTTGCAGTGTTTAGGAGAAAACTTGGATCTTGGTTCAAAGTCTAACTTTACTTTTATCATAGATCGACAAAAGGTATATCTTTCTAACTTGTATTATTAATTACTTACTATTATATAAACTAAATACTTAATTTTTGTTATTGTTTTAGGGTTTAATACCAGCAATAGCCCAACTATTCCCATGTGCTAAGCAGAAGTATTGTCTCACGCACATACATCAGAACATGAGAGTGAAATGGAAATTGAAAGAGTACAAGGATCATTTATGGAGATGTACAACTGCAACCACTGTACCTGAATTTGAACATTGCATGAAAGAATTTAGCAACTATGATAAGGAGGCATGTGAATGGCTTAGAAAGATTCCTCCAAAACACTGGGCAAGAAGCCATTTTACAGGTACATAACTTACCATAAATTACTATATGTTAAATGTGCACTTATACTTAAAACAATATGTTAATTTTGTTAACAAGCAGAGCAATCTCTGATATACTGTTAAACAACCTTTGTGAGGTATTTAACAGCAAGATAATAGAGGGAATAGATAAGCCTATCATAGGTTGTTTGGAGTATATTAGACAATACTTGATGAAGAGAATCTGTAATGTTATGAAGGTAATGGACAAGGCAAAAAGGCCTTTAACACCCACTGTAACAATCATATTGGATGTAAACAAATCTCATGCATCACATTACATTTCTAGGTGGAATGGGGGTGAGAAATACCAAGTCACTGGGGCATGGCAAGATCAACATGTTGTAGATGTTAGGAACAACACATTTACTTGCAGGAAGTGGTAGCTAATAGGCATCCCCTGTAAACATGTCATTGTAACCCTTTATGAAATGACCAAGAACTCAGAGGATATTGGTGACATTTACAGGTGGGTTAATAAGGTATACTGGTTGGATACATGGAATCATGCATATTCCTATAAGGTAAAGCCCATAAAAGGAAGAATAATGTGGCCTAAAAGTTTGTGTCCCACCACACTTATCCCTCAAATACATCATAAGCAACCAGGTAGGCCTACAAAGAAGAGGAAGAAAAGTGAGGATGAAAAAATTGAGTCAGAGTCAAAGAGGTAGTCAAAGTCAGAGTGGTACTCATGGTGTAAGTCAGGAAGAAGGCTGTAAAGTGGGTCCTGATGGAGTTCAAAAATTAACAAGGAAATTTGCCAGTGTAACATGTGCAAAATGCAAAAACAAAGGTTACAACTCAAGGACATGCAAAGGTTAAGGAGGTGGAAGTTAGGTGGAAGTTGAAGATCAAGGTTGTGTTTGTTTTGGCAGATGTTATTTGCTACTTTTGGAAGTGTTTTGATGTTAAAAAACTTATGACTTATGGTTATTTTGGTTTTCATTAGTATGATAAGTATTAGAACATATATATATATATATATATATATATATATATATATATATATATATATATATATATATATATATATATATATATGGTTGCATATTTTGGAATAATGTAATTGCATTATATGCTTGTAGTCTATTATGTAATTGTAGTCTTGGTTATTATGGTTTTTGGTTATTGTTGTGTATTATGTAATTACAGTCAATTATTCACATTAACCTTTCTTTCACCTTACAAAAACTACAAAGAACCTTACAAACAACATAAGCAATTCCATAAAATTCATATTTATATCAGGAAGTCATTTACTACATAAACAACTTACTTTGACCTTACAAACAACTACAAAGAACCTAGGTTAAAGTAACAAAACCATTAATCCACCCAAAAACCACAATTTTATCGATCTTCAACAAAAAAAACCCCACCCCATGAGAATAGAAACGTCTTTACCTTTTGAGGGCAAGAATAGAAACGTCTTCCTGGGTTCTTCGGTGTCCATTAGCATTTAACAACAGCAAACTTACCACAAAAACAAAGAACCATCGTGTTATTAACTGACAAGACGATCGTTAACAAAAGGGAACGAGAGAAGGAAGAACAACTTGAAAGTTGCAGAACAACATTTGGGGAAGAACTTGAACGTTGGGGAAATCTTTATATATTATTTCAGGAATTGTAAAAATAATCCCTCAAGTAAAAAGATATTTTTGCCCTTGTGTGCAATGCACGTGAGGGGTTTAATAGCCACAAACAAACGACTGTTAACCCCAGGAACTTGTTCCACAAATAAACCTTTCAATACGGACTAGAAATCCCATTTTTAAAAGGTTTTGACCATATCCACAAAAAATAACAAACCACAGGGACCATTTTTGCATTTTTGTCTAAACTCAAAAAACAATTTAATGAATTTTTTTTTTGAAAATCTAATGGGAGTACATTGCTATAGATGGAAAAATAGTGATTGGGTTAAAAATATAAATATATTCTTTAGTAGAATAAAAATGTAAGTAAGTTTCTCTTATAAATTTAAATATAAATACGTTGTTGTTTTGGTTAAAAATAAAAATCTTATTTAGTTTTCTTTTAAAAATATAAACATGTTTGATATTTTGGTTTAAAAGTAAAAGGATGTCATTGTTTTTGATGAAAAATAAAATATGTAATTGTTTTGAGTTAAAAATAAATGTGTTGTTATTTAGGCTAATCATTAATGTATATTTCTATTTGGTTGACAATTGTTTTATTTTTGTTTTGTTTTTTTTATTTGGCATGGTCAATTTTTGTTAACAACTGTCATTTTCACTTAATTTTCCTTTGACTAAATATATCAATATTATTTTAAATTTTAAATTTGATGGCATTTGTTTAAAATTATAATTTAATCTTATTTTTAGGCCGTTTGGATAAATTATGTAAAAATCATTATTTTGAAAGTTAATAATAGAACTTGTCAAGTTTGAAAGCCTTTTATTAATTTGTAAAAAGTTAATGATTTACTTAATTATCCAAAATTTTACATGTTTACCAAAAAGTTAATCCAAGGCGATTTAAAGTATAAGTTGGAGTTAACTCATTCGACTAAAATGGAGGTTCTAAACTACCTCTCTTCCATCCCAATGAAAAGAGAAAAATAAATATTTTGTTGTTAAAAAAAATGCATATTAGGGATAATTTCAACATACTATTTTGATTGGTTGCTCATCAAACCCATTGCTTGCCTAATATCATATAAGAAAAGATATAAGAACCGGTTAAATCCACGTATACACAAACCAATAAAACTATCTTGTGCTGATTAAACCAGATGTACACAATGTACTACCCAAGTAGAAAAATCATATGATACACAAATATGGGTAAAATCAATGGATGCACATCTGAAGATTACTATCGTCACAAATGACTGCTTTTATAAAGATTGGAATTTAGGTAAAAGGAAGAAGTACCAAACATAATTCCACTAAATTTTTATTATCGCATTTTACTGTTATTTTTTCTTGTTGCAACATTTACTTTGCAAAACCTACTCGTCTTTTGCTTTTATTGGTCAAAAAATAAGAATATATTGCTTTTCAGGGTTAAAATAAATTACGTTGTCCACTTTCAATACAGTTCATCAACATGAGTTGACTATTGTACGGATCAGAATGTTTGAATGTTGACATGTTTCCACATCTGGGGGCGCAATTGAGCTAGATTCTTACTTTGGTATAGGCCACCAAACCCACTAAAATTCTTTTGAAATTGATTGAGATTTGTTGGGCTTGAAAAGTCCCGTCCATCTTTTTCTAAGAATCACAAGCTAGTTCAAACATCCAAAGTAGGTATGTTATGCAATTCTCCTATAGTTCCATGACCTCTATAAATGATAAGAATCATAATTTCATAGCTACTCTCACACATGATAGCAATGTATTTACAATTTTTTCATAATACTAGCAACACTTTGGTTTGTATCTATAATGATAGCGTACTTATGAATTTTTACCTAAATAGCAAGTAACTTTGTTTTTTTAGCAAAAACAACAATGTACTTACACTATTTTACCCATAATAGCAATATACTTATAACTTTTAACCCAAAATAGCATTATACTTTCAAGGTACAATGGTTTAGAATTTTTTTTTTTATAAATATAACAAAAAGAAGTTTTGAATAAGAAATGAAACTGAGATTTTATATCAAACAATGAAATGAAAATACATTGCTATTTCTTGCATACTGATTGGGTGAATGAAAGAAAATGAAAAGTAATTTCATTGCGTTGTCTAATATAACATCTTACTTTCATTTCATATTCTTAATTTATTTATATAACATTATATTTTAATTTTCTTTTCTTACTAAAGCATC